AAGCAGGTTAATCATTCTTCAGAGTAGGTTCCGTCTCTGCATAAACACAATAGAATCTTAATGGTCTTCCTGGCTCAGGACAAGGGGTCTGGCTGAACATTTTAGGGCAGATAGGAGGAGTGGCTGAACACTTTAGGGCAGGTAGAAGGAGTGGGGTTTAAAGACAATCGAAATGCTAATTACTGTATTTACTCTTAGGCACAGAGGAAAAGGCAAGTTTCCAGTCATAGGAATCTAACAATTATAATGGAGGTGCTCCTCCTAGGTGGAGTTGCTCCTGCTTCATTCCCCACTTCTGTTGGAGGCACTCCTCCAAGATGGGGTCATGCTTACCATATTTTATATCCATACTTTCATGTCAGTGGAGCAAAGAAATTGACTTCTGAAGTGGTAGAGCCTTATTTAAACATCTTTGTGGTATTCTGATCCTTAAGTAACATATGTCCTTGATAGAAATCTTCACTTGAAGCACAAGATTATAGAAATTGTATAATTAATCATCATGATAACACCTTTTTTATATCTTGTACAGTTTTTGGGAGGATTTAAGGCTATCTACAAGAATATATAAAATAGAACAAAATCACATTAAGTAATGTTGAATAAAAGAATAAAGTAAAACAAAGTGAAAACAGTAGAGGCACGAATAAGATGAGAATCCATGTGCTAAAGATTTAAACTAATGCATTTGCCCCAGGTGGACCAGAGGGTTGGCACAAGCCTTCGAGCAGTGATCCAATGCTATACACAGGCACATCCAATTAGACCATTAGAGAAAATTACTCTGTTAGAAATATCTTTTTTTGTATTGTAGTGTTTTGTTTTGTTTTGTTTTTAGAGGTTTTTGCTATAGGGCGCGTGTGCTCACCAGACAGACAGAGACAGAGAGACAGAAAGCAAGAAATCAACCCCCAGGGGGGGCTGGCCACACCTCAATCCCCTCTCCTCCATTCTCCTCTTGGGATCTTGGGCACCCACGCACACGCTCCCAGCGTGAGTTTTAAGCCACCGGGTCCGGGACACGAACCACTGTCGACCACATGGGAGTCCAGTGACATAGCCATTACACTAACTGCTGGTCCCAGAAATAAAAAGTCTTAATTGACAATTCGTATAAAGAAAAAAATAGCTTGATTGTGTGGTTGAGAAAACAATATATCAATGTAAGGGAAATTTGGAGTAAAGGATGGTTTTGAAGTATGAAGTTTTGGGGGGATTTTTTGGTTGTTTTTCTTTTAGAACGGGAAATATTCTCATGCTCCGCAGTAAAAATTAAAGGACTTTTCTTCAACTTCTGTGTGAGCTGAGAGGCAACATGTATAACTGAGAAAATGCTAGAGATTACAAAAACAGCAATTTCCCCTACATTTATAAGAAGTATGAAAAGCTCTGGTATGAAGTAAAGCCTACAAATCTGAATTGTGAAGATGACACTTTTACTCAGTTTGAAGAAAATAGTAGACAAGGGAAAATATTAAATGTTAGTAAATATGAAAAAACACAACTGAAGTGCTAAAATACAGTTTGCTTTAAAATGTAGGAATTCTGAAGACATAGAGAAAAACATAGGCATTGATCTGAAGGCCAAAAGTTTAAAATATAATATTACAAAATACCATTCCTATCTGAAATGCCCACCTCTATTTACATAGTCACGAATCATTTTTCTTTTCTTCCCTTTATCACCACGTAGAAGGTGAACAGATACACCTCAGAAACTGCCATACATACTGAATGAAGGAATGCAACTGCAGAAAAATGTTTTCCTAGCCTTTTAAAAGGTGCTACTAGGAGGAGAACTTTAATTACAGAATGGGAGAGGTCAGAAAATTCTTTTATGAATTAGATTTGATAGAATGCCAGAGAAAGTTCCCCTTCATTACTCTAGCCCGAGGGAGTCAATTGTACTATATCAAGATACATATAAGTTTATGTTGTGGAGACTTTAAATGAACATGTAGAGACAAGTCTCTGTAAATGTTCAATGTCCCCGATGATTCACCTGATGTTCAGTTCTCTACTTGCCTTTTGTAGAGAGGAGGCAAAAGCGAGGACATTCCTCCTGGAAGTCCAAGCTGTTTCACCAGCTCTCCCAGTAATTGAACGGGAGCAGTCAGGAGCGGCCAGGCTGATTGGCTGAGCAGGGCAGCAACAGGCTGTGTGTGGTCTACTACATTGGTCCCTCCCTTCCTGCAGAAAGTCCATGCTCCAGTATTTGAGCACCAGCTCTTAGGAGCGCAATAAGCTGAGAGGGCTGTTGGTATCCGCTGATGCTGTTGGTCTTTCCACTGAGGTCGCTGCTGCTTCTGACAGATCCCACGTGTTGGTGAACTTCCCGAGAGAAACCTGGAAATTGGGGTGGGGGGTGGGGGCGAAGCCCAGGCCAAGAAGAGGGGCCGTCCCCAGGAACTATAGAGCTCTCCAATTTCTTGGACTTGGTCCCCATTCTAGAAGGGCTACCTGGGGGACCAGCAGTTAGTGTAATGGCTTTGTTGCTGAACTCCCATGTAGTCAACCACGGGTTCAAGTCCTGGACCCTGTGGCTTAAACTCACGACGGGCGCGTGTGCGTGCGTGCCCAAGATCCAGAGAGGAGAATGGAGGAGAAGGGATTGCTGCATGGCCATCCCCCCTTGGGGGTGATTTCTCGCTTTCTCTCTCACTTTCTGGCGAGCGCTTGGGCCCTATAGCAAAAAAAAAAAAAAAAAAAAAAAAAAAAAAAAAAAAAATAAAAACAAAAACACTTCTAAT